GCGTAACTGATGATGGAAATGAAATGTAAATAGAGGAGATAATAATGACTGAATAATAACAGTAATAAAAATGATGATATTTATGATAAACACAAAAATGTAATAAAAGTATTGATGTTGATAAATGATGATAAAGGCAATATCAATAGATGAAATAACATTAAGAGATGATGGTATTTATATCAATACTAACGATAATTCGTAATAGTAACGACAGAAAAAAAAACAATAAAAGTGTCAAAGAGAAATTATAGAAATAAGTGTTTGTTGCAATAACGAATATAATTATAAAATATTACGATATTATTTCACATTTCTATTTTCGATGTTTTTTTTTTTTTCGCTTGTATGTCCTTTTATCTGGATTCATAATTGAAGGGGAGATAACGGTGAACGTAGCAAAGTGAAAGATCATATTACCGTTGTGCAACTTTTGAACTTTTCTCTTTATCGATCGGACAAATATTTCGCTGGTTTGATATCCTGTGTTGAATTTCAGTTACCCCTTAGGAAAAGTTTTCTTTGAAGGGTTAAAATAAAAAGAGAAAATGGCATCGATGAGTTTTAGGGGTAACGTTTTTGAATTTCTAGACAGTCTTTTTTTTTTACATTTTTTGTCCTTATGAAGAGTATAGATTTTGACGATTTACAAGAATGAAGTTTTTATTGAGTCAAACTCAGAGTACAGTTTGATTAGATTGATACTGTTCTAATAGAATAGTTCTCAAACAAAACATAAAACAAAGAAAAAATAGATAAGTTACACTGAAAATATCAGAATAAAACGACAAATGAAAGCAGATTCTCTTTTATCACTGACGCAACTGCAATTGAAGCAACCTTGACATACTCTTTAAAATCTTTGGGAAAATACGAATGAGACTTTTGGATAAACAAACAAACAGAATGCCTGGAGGAGTACCAAGTGCGAAGTGTTTAGATTGATTTGAAATATGATCTAACCTCAAGAGTAGATGGGACTGCTAATGTATATGTATGTATATACATACATACATACATATATATATATATACATGTGTGTATGTGTGTGTGTGTGTGTGTGTGTGTGTGTGTGTGTGTGTGTGTGTGTGTTTGTATAAAGAATATACACACACACACACACACACACACACACACACACACACACACACATATATATATATATATATATATATATATATATATATATATATATATATATATATATAATAGTAACACACACACACACACATACACACATAATATATATATATTATATATATATATATATATATATATATATATATATATATATATATATTATATATATATATATATATATATATATATATATATATAATATATATATATATATATATATATATATATATATATATATATATATATGTATGTATGTATATGTATGTGTAAGTGTGTGTGTGTGTGTGTGTGTATGTGTGTGTGTATGTGTGTGTGTCATATATATATATATATATATATATATATATATATATATATATATATATATATATATATATATATATAAACACCAAAGATGTAATTATGAATTCAAAAGTGAATTATTGAAAACAAACTCAAAACAGAATGAAATAAAGGATGGAGAGAAGGTCTGCAATCACCCAGAATACCGACATAAACAAACCACAGAATGACGACGAAGCCGACCAGAGGACCATCTGAACAAACAAGAACAAGAGTGAACACTTTTTTTAACTGAAATATCCCTCCTCCATTCATGGTAAAGAAAGGGTTTTGATTATCATTTCATGTAAGATATTTTCTATACCATTCAGTTAATGTGAAAAGTTGTATGTATTAGGTCACTTAAACACACTTAAAAAGGAATTAATCTGTTTTAGAAAATAAGAATCGGAGTGGTATCCAGTTGAATAAATATTAGATTACGAATTTAAAATCCATGAGGATATTTGACGATATTCAGAAATTCGGTGAGTGATGCTACCATACTGACAAAAAATGCGATAGACAGTAATAGACAAGATAAACATAAAGCAAGATAACCGTATATTACTATATAAGAATATATTAATCCAATATTCACTGTGTTGCAATGTGAGACAAAAAAAAGAGAGAAAAAAAGAAAACAAAAAAAGGGTAAAAGTGGATAAACAAACCCAAGCACCAACTGTCGGCTAAAAAAACTCTACGGGACCTGCTCGCCATGTTTGAATATTGTCTCGCATCGCCAAAGTATATCACCTTAATATATCTTTAGCATGACGCGTGACTTATATTCTAATCTCACCATGTACAATAACAGCAATCACCGAATACTGAACTATGTCTGATATATCTGAATATATGTAAATCTCTATAATGACGATTGCCCACGCCTGAGCACAGAGCCAGGGTGGTATAACATTACTAAAAAAAAAAAAGAAAAAAAAAAAAAAAAAAATTACATTCCATTCTTAGGTACTACACACCAGTTCTAGCGTATTGAAATGGTAAGTATAATGATGATAATGATAATGTTGAT